GAAACTACACAGCCTGGTCTCTAGAAGAGCTCCATGGAGTTGCCAGACCTTACAGGCTAATGGTCTTGGCACTGGAGCCTGAGTGGATAACATTGCAGCCAGAGAGCTGTGATGTTGGCAAGAGTGATGAGAGTAGCAGGTGTTGGCTGCTGTCGCTGACTTGTTGTTGCTGCATAGAGACAAAGATTGCACCAGCTGCTCCATGCTGCACACTGGCAATTGAAGCCCAGAGTATTAAACGCTAACTTGAGCACTTCCAGCTATGTTTATGGCTTCTAAGACCATCAGTCTAAAGTCTAGATCTCAGGGATTTGGGTTGCAAGCATATGGGTTGATCAATCAAGTCTACACTTCTTCTGCATTTGGGTGCAAGAAAGGAAACATAGTCAGTACCTCTCTTCATGACTCCACGTGAGGGGGGAGAAGCCATGGCCAGATCATTGGTAACACACCTGAGATGAAACCCATGTCTTTGGACTTTATAAATGATATTTACTCTTCTTTTTTATCAACACATTATAGGATGCTTGAGCATGATTTTATTTTTGCTCAATATTCTATGTTCATTTTGTGTCACAGATGGAGGGTTGAGTAAGTTTTGGTACAATGGGTGCACATAAAAATATGCATTTTAGTACTGATAAAGCTGCTACTTGCAGAATAGCTACTGGGCAGCACACCGGGTAACTGGTATTCTTACACATCTTCCTTATCAGTCAAGAATGCAAAGGATTCACCATGCATGTACTTAGAAAGAAACTCACCAACATACAGTTTTGAGCAGTACTTCTCAAAATCTCATCAAAGAGTATGAGGTCTAGATGGACAAAGTCTTTGCCCAATTAAAAACTCTGATAATAGGAAATCATAATCTGTCCTTTAATAAACCACACTGACATTATGCTCCAGCTTTGAGAACATCCAGAAAGAGTACTTGAGGAATGTGGTGTCTTTCCACTCCTCCTATTTAAAACATCAGTCCTGTGTATCATGGCATTGTGATTTGGCATCCACTAACTGGAAATGAAGGCTAATATTAAAAACATCAACAGTTTCTTAATAAGAATTTTCTATATGACAGTAGATCCAATACTGTAATGTCATACTACTTCAGGTTTGTAATCTATCTGGTGGATCAGACTCCCACTGCCATGATACTTAGATTTTGATATCATGAGGGAAATTTTTGTAACAAAATGCACCACATATTGACAAAAGCGGAGAGCGATTTCAAATACTGTATGCCTCTGAGAACAGTGGATCTCAACTAGCCAGAGCAATTAAGCAAGGCATTCCTTTCTCTCTAGAAAGGAAGAAATCTAGGGAGATGAAATGAAATACAACAGGACCAGCACACTTAACCAAAACCCTTAATAAATTGTGACTTCTTTTGTTTGTTGAATAATGGATAAACAGTGAACAAACAGAAAACTGAGTGTTTGCTTTATCTTAAAACATATCTCATGGGATGAAAAAAACTTGAAGCAATTACCACAAAATTGCTTATTTCAAATGATCAGTAGAAGCTAGCCATCAGTAGAAGATAATCAAATACTGCTGTGTTAGAACCAAGAGGAAAGGCTAGGATACACCCTCCACAGCAGAGGGAAGCTATCGATGAGAAATCCAGTGTAGTCCACTATCCTGAGCTTAATATCTGAGCATCAAATGAGAAGAAATAACCACGTTTCTACTTAAACAGTCACATATATTTATACCCTAGGGCTAAATGGAGAAGAAATATTAGCCAGAGATGCAACATCCCTTCTTCACTGTCTTTTATTTTAATTCCTCTAATGACTGAGATGTATCACAAAAAAATGAACAACGATGATCATTTCTTATTCTGCACAGCTATTAAAAGGGGGCCTTCTTCCTACTCACTGTGATATTCCAAATGAAGCTACTTGTCCATGGCAAATATCTACATATTTCTGTCTTCTTGGTTAGGAACGAATATCCCTGTATTTCTGTCTTCTTGCTTGGGAACTCAGTGACTGTTCTGAATTTCCACCAACGTCCCCTCCATGACTGTGGCAGTGAACATTCCTATTATCAATGGGTTATCAATAATTTCCTATCTACACCCAAAACTTCACAATAATACTTGTCCAACTCAAATACTATAACTGGTCAATCAAACCTCTGTTAACAGTCCAATCTACTACATCTTTTTCCTGTTGCATTTAACCACAGTCTCAGGTTGGATTGCTATCCTGTTTCCTAGCAATTACCTTTAGCACCATGCACACCCCAGTAACATACACATATAAAAGATGCATCTGCCCAAAAGACTAATGTTGCAGAAATACCTTTATTTTCAGCCTCTTCCTGGTAGACATAGAAATGATATGTGTGTCGAATCAGCACACTCTCCCATCAGCATCTTCCCCTTCTTCCTACCACATCTGTACCAGTAGTAAACCATCATCATCCCCTTCCTTCTAACACACCTGAACCAGCAATTAGCCATCAGCATCTCCCCGTGCCTCTACCACATCTATACCAAGAGTTAAGTACACTACAAAAGCATTCCATCTGGCTCTTTCATGGATGTCTTTGTATCGTGCCATTTTTGAACTATGAATGCTTCCAAACTTCTCAAGACTCTGATGATTTTGCTCAAATTTTATAATCCAAGGTTTGTTTTTCATTCATGCATTTCAGGAGCATCTGTGGCAAGATATGGTTGAGAGACCGTAAGGCAGAACATGGGGTCAGGGTAGTGTTGCTCAATGGTCAGCCTCTTCCATTAACTAGTAAGGTAACAGGGTGTTCAAACTTTACAAAAAGAACATTCCAAAGACCTATGCAAAGTGCCAAGTGAAGAGAGATTTCTGAGTTGAAAGGAGCTCATGCTGTGGGGATCAAGAGCAAAGTGA